GGCAGCTGGTTCCTCTCTCTCCAGCTGCATCTTTACTTTTTTTTTTTTTTTTAAACCTTTTACAGATTGATTTAAACATTATTTAAACCACATGCTTCTTTTGTTGGGGCTCCAGCCAGGCCTCTGGGGGAAGAGTTATTGGCAGTGGTGACGGAACTGGGAAGGGTCTGTGAGGGAATCTGAGGAGCTTTTTGCCTCCCTCAGACCCCTCCACACAGGCCTGTCTCTCACAGTTGCTTATGACAATCACGGAGGAATGGCTGCATGGTTTGTTAGGTCTTTTCCACGGCTCTCTGGAACGTCTGGGAGTTTGTAAGTGAGGCAGGAAACCGAGCAGAAAGACCCAGAATCATCATTTCCCCAAAGTCGTGAGAGCAAGCCAACAGTTTTATCTAGGGGACGCATGTTCCCAAACGCCACCCCACCAGTCCTTACGAAGAAGTTCTCAAAGGTGCAGCACCAAGAACCTGCTCCTCCTGGGACACCTCCTCCTCCCTCCAGCTCTCCTCCTGGGGCTGGAGAGCCAGTGCGTGGAGAGAGGAGGGGGAACAGGAGGGGCCAACGTGGCTGAGGCCAGCCCATTCTGCTGTCCCGGGTGGCAGTGCCAGCTGGACCCTCAGAGCGTTGCCTGCAGGTTGGGGTCCAGGATGGTTTCCCGATCTGGAGATTCAATGTAGTTGGCAGCTTCTTGGAGTTTCAGCAGCATGGCCATCTAATGAGGGGAAAGATGAATTAATGGGAGATGAGTGATGAGCAGAATGGGTACCACAGAAAGGTCTGGCTTGTGGATGTGGTTCTTGGCTTGTAAGTGGTAAAGAGCCCAGAGAGGTTAGGGTTTGTGGCAGTCCCCTAATCTGGTGTCAATTTAAGGATGAAGAGTGTAGGAGTAGCGTCTAGGCTGTCAATCTGGAGATAGCCAATGAGACTTCTGGGTGGGCATGGCCTTCTCCTGAGAATCCTGGGAAATCTGGTACTTCCTCCTTGGAGGCAGAAGACACCTCTCTCTCTCTGCTACT